CAGAGCTGAACTCATAGAAATGCCAGCGGGGGAAAGAACGATGGAACAAACAAGCTAGGGCGCCCCTATGGCTCGAACAGCTCTGAGTTGCCCCCGTATAAAGAATCCCTCCCTTCGTTTGCCCTTGAGATAGGGAATACCCCCGTATATCGGGAACACATTAGTACTATCTCGATTTAGACGGTGGCAACAGGCAACTAGGCAGTCAAGCAGGCAGGGGATGGAGACAGTGGGGCATAGAAGGGCGATCGTCTTCGTCACTCATTACCACTTGCCCAACAGTGACGGTCTGGTGCAGCAGACCCCGTCAATGACTTCAACGAGCAGCAACCTAGCATGTCTGAGCACCGAGAAGCCAACATAGCTAAACGGCAGCAGGAGTCCAATAACGCTGAGGACGTCGTGGTACTGTTCAGAATCAGTCGACCCATCCTCACCAAGCTTCTAGGCAACGGCCTTCTCGCCTGGCTAGCTGGGTGCATTTGTTGGGTGGGCCACTATGGGCCCTGGGTCAGTGTATACGACACCAAGGTAATCAATAAAACTATGCGGTGGACTCTCTCATACTCGTGCGAGCGTACGCTGCTGATATCTTTGTCTGCGTGGCCGTATATGCGTGTGTTTATTAATATGCGTGGATAATGCATGCGTGTCAAGTCGACCTTCGTATGTAAAGGAGTGCGGCTGCACTCATCGCTGATTGCATCAGGCACGTCGTCGTCAAGATGGTTAGCGGATACACGGCTGAATAAAGATGTTTCACTAGTTCCTTTATGGGTCGCTCGCTGGAGGGTCGGTCGATCTTTTGTTTTCTGCTACGATGGGAGCAGTAGCGAGCTCACGTGTATACCCCTTAAGGATCGTAGTTTCGTGATTCCTGTTAGTATTGAAATACATTGTTATGACGTCTGGACGAGATCATTTTGTATCTACCTATATGATTTCTGGCTGCGGAACGTCTATAATCACGCAGACAGTAATAATAAAAAAACGTTTTGAACCTCCTAAAATCTTACGCGTTTATTATTGACTGAATATAGAAAAATAACATTTTTGGCAATTGCACCTCAACAGGTGTGTATAGTGCACACTTTGTTAAGCTGACGTAGGGTTGAATATACGATATTGCTTAAACGTAGTTTTGAAAAAATCAAAGTTGAAAATTAAAAAAAAATAAATCACAATTTTCAATACTATATTTATTGACACCTTCTCTATTTACGGGTTTAAGAAAGGCCTATTCGGTTGACACTACGCAAATAACAAAAAAACACATATATGTTTCAGGTAAATTATTTGATTGAGTTTAACTGAGTGTTAGCACCTACTGATCAATACTCCCTAATTTTGAACACAGTCCGACAGAGGGAAACACGGCCATATTGCCGTTGCAAAAGCTTCAAGAGCGCATTCATGATCTCATGTTCAATAGGTTTTTCCGACTGCGTACGAAAAACTGTCGATATAACAAAATTATATTATAGATTGTGGTTAAGTTGATATTACGGTAAGCCTAACTATGATTACTACTATTATTTACAGGTTAGTGACCAGTAATGGTTTGGGCTTTATTATATATCAAAATTTATTATATAACAAAGCTTAGAATTTGTTTTAGATCTGATCTCGAAATCGAATTCGACGGAACGCAGGAAGGGCTTTTTCCATATCGGTCCGCCCGATACATTAGTGATTTGTAAGGCACTTGCCGCCTCTCTTTGACCTACCCTTTCTCGCAGTAGACACAGGCGCAGAACTTCGTCTGTGATGAACTTTTCACCGATGTCACAACAGAGACGCGAGCTCCCCGTGGTGGGTCAATGGCCGCCCGCAAATTTCTTATGTAAATGCCCAACGATGGTTGGGGTGTTGAAACCCAAGACAACTTATGGCAGTATGCGTAAACGATTCGGATCAAATAATTGATCAAGCGAATGGATCTCTTAGACGAAAAGGAAATTAAAACTAATGTATTGTCGGCCAGCCCTTAATGGTAATAAAGCACTAAAGTCCCGCTTTTGTATTCGATATTAATTCTGTATTCCTTCACCTCAGGAGATAGTTCTGTCCGATATTCAGTTACTTAGTATGGCATGTTTGGAACGTTCAACCTTTTGCCGGAAAATTAAGCCACGACCTGTCCCAAAACTCTATGGTAAAATTACTTGAAAGCTTATCAGCTTGTTGTCATTTTTGAATGTTAATTGAAGTGTTTTGTATATGAAAATAATTGAAAAATGAAGACGAAGCGTACTTACGAGGATTTTTATAAATAAAATGGTCACAATTAATTTAGCTAGTTGTGGTCGCACTGTTCCTTCGATCATGTTGTAATGTTAACGTAGCATGAGTTCTTTACTTAAGCAAGGAAAAACAGCCGAGTTATAGGTACGAGTTGAAGTCGTTTAGCGTAGGAGGTGACACCCATGAAATTTACATTCAGTTCTGCCAAAGTCGTTGAAGCTCGGTTTCACGTATACGCAAGGCCGACGCCGATAGGGTAGCTCGCATAACGAGCACTATAGGAATAGCTAATAAATGATATATAGGATACTTAGGTTTTTAGAGAAACGACTCTTGATATATGGCAAGGAACCCCATGTGACGCAGTAAATGTCAGAGGCGATACCTCGATGGTTTTCCATACGCGCTCATTGTATACTTTTTCGAGTACGTAGGGGTTGTTTGTGATGCAGATATCACATTATACACGGGGTAAGGGCATACGTAGGCTTAAATATGAAATTACATTTCTGAAAATTCGAGTATTAAATATCCTGGAATAGCTATTGTCAGACCATATAATACCTGCTGGTATTAGAAATATATCAGGCGCACAACATGGGGGAAACAAGTGAGAGCAAGGTACGCAAAGATAGACTAGGTAGCGTTAGGTGAATTTTCTAAATATCAAGTTCTGTGCCCAAAATGCCTTGGTGGTTGTCGTCACAATTTTGGCAACACAAACCTAAAACGAATGGTACTTGCAGCGTCATACAAACGAAAGTTAAGCCTTGGAAATATTAGAATGGAGATACAGCACATAGATGTTCTACGAACTCTGACTTAAGCTTTATCATGCTGCGTTTTTCTAGATACCCATTAATGAACACGTAAATTCATGTAGGCACGAGTCGTCCAGTTAGAAGTGCTAAAAAACATCTTATATAGACTTCCGTATAGGTAGTGTTGACGTCATAGATTGTGTGTCACTGCATTATGCTATGCTATATGTCAACTATGATTGACACGATCTACGTACTCTAAATAAAAAGCCCACTTCTAAGCCGCAATTTGGAAGATCGCATACTAAAAGCTTCAAGGTAAAACTATGTAGTATTCATAATCCGTACACAGAGGTGTCACAGAGGTGCGTCAGCCTCAGATCCCTGACTGTCCCATAATGTTCTCCTAGTGTTATCTAACATCTTCCACATCGGATCCAATCCACATCAGACACTAGAGTGTCCTTCTCGTCAAAGAACGCCGTATTTGGGCGTATGCAAGCCCTTCAGTGCAGTTTTACGGCGTCATTTGCTTTAAAATCCATAACCCATAGTCAAACAAGTGCTGATAACGAATACTTGCCAAGGTTGAAAATGAAACATATCTAGTTATTGTTAACGTACACTTACAGATGTAAATGCTGTTTTTTTCTAACGGCTGCTTGCGTCATCGGTAATGAGTAGTAACAATGCAGACTTGATTAAAGCTTCACACTTCCTTTTCAGAGCATATAAAGCGGCACTAGCCGAACAAGAGTAGTGCGCTTCATTTAGTACGTTGTGCACTTATCGACGCATTGTCACTTACCCTATGGCAAAAAATAGAAAGCGAGAGGGGGAAGGAAAGAGAAAAAAGAGGGAGAGGCAAGGGAGAAAGATGAATAAACGCAAATTCTAGTTTCGTTCGTTCCTTATTCGCGCGCGCGGTGAGTTTGCTTCCAGCTTGCTGTGCCCCATCCTCCAGGGCTTCGTTGCTTGTCAGGAACTACGAGTCGTCAGTTGCTTGTTAATCAATTGAAATTTGTTAGTTAACTACTTGAAGTTAAGATGTAAAGCAAAGGCAGATTGAAGGCGGGTATATTGCCATAGGATGGATAAAGTAATACAGTCAGACCTGAGCAGTGCACATCTGCTGGCCCTCGCTAATTCCGCTGTTAGCCCCTCCCTAACCCCATAAATAAATCCTGTTTTGTCATGCCGCGCCCTTAAGTGCTAACCTTCGGCAGGCTCTAGTGAGCAGCTAGGTCATTTCTTCTACTACCGTTTGGGGTTTCTTTGAGTATATCTACGCAGTACGTTTACCTGTACGTAAACCAATTCAAGAACGATGTGGCTTTGACGGTTTTCATAGTGGCTCTGTTTGCTCTTCCATTAACGTGAACTGACCCACGTGGTCGCGTGCTCAGCTCCGTTAGCTCATCACTATACTAAAGTGGCAGCGCCAGAAGTGGAGGGCGCGGCGTCCTATATGAACACGCGGCACATTTAGTGAGGGACCCAAATAAACAGATTGTTTGCTTCTGTACTCAGGAGGACCTCACGTTCAAGAAATGATGGAACAGTCGTGACAGGGGCAATTGAAAAGTTGTTCTCAACGCCAGAACAGCTATTACTGGCCACCCATCAGGGTTTTATCAGTGTGACAAAATGAGGCCGAAAATACGCCAGCTCGAGCGGTAGCACTCTTCACAGAGGCATATCCATTTCTACTTGTGAGCACTGTTGTAACAGAAACAATGTAGAGCATCGTTTTATAGACATACAATGAGTTTTTTATGTGTAGTCCGGAAAGTGGAGCACAGTAGATATAAAAAAAATTCTAACCATTAAAAAGAATGTACGTTTCAAAACGTTCAAGTTCATGTAGACGGGACATATATCTGGCCGTGCGTATTAGACCAGTTCACGTTGAGAGCTACCAGCTAGGACGTAAACTGTATAACCTGTATGCTGACTACTAATGCATTCACTACTACGTTATATGAAAACTAGTAAATAAAAAGAATTTCGTTTTATTAGGCAATACGACAGCAGATCTAAGTACCCTATGCCGGGTCTCCGGTACTAGCATCTTCGTGACTTTGCGCGTGATCACACCATCCTGGACCTGAGTATTCTACAAGAGTTGTGACGTCATCAAGAACATCCTGAACGTAATTGAGCAGATTTTCGGTCTGATTCCCTATTTCTCCAGTAATTGCCTGATTATTCTGGAGTTTAGACGATATTTGCTCTTGATGCTGGACTACCTGAAGCGACAAGCAAATCCAAGTAACAGCAGGTTTATATAAGATTCACTGAGGTAAAAAAGCCGCATGAATCCTTTTGTCTTAACATTGAACAATTCCTCTTCGGAAACCCGGTATAGGCTGTGTTAACTAAGTTCGAATTAGCTCATGACCAACCATGGCAATATCTGAGAAATAATCTGCTATCAGATTTGAAGTTCTATGCTTAAAAACGTTACTAGTGAATTCCGTTGGTTATACTTGGGAGTCGAGTTTAGGTTCTATTCAGGCACAAGGTTTCATGCCTCTGACAAACTGACCTCTTCAACAAGTCCAGCGTCGCGCGATACAAAGCTAGCGAAACTCGATGTGGTGATTCCGGGCACGACGCTGTACAACTGCACAAGACGATTACCGGCCAAGTGGCGAGAGAATGTTAGGAAGTTGATAGCAGAGTTATTTGCGAGGAAAGCGTACAGATGCCGCTGATAATGTGACGCCATGAGTAAATGCGGTCGTCGGGGCATCAGGGCCATCTGGCGAAGGAAGGCGACGCACAAGCCAGCCCCTTCTGTCATCTGAGTACCTACATCAGGACAAATTACGGCTGATAATGTAATTAAACTGTGACGATAATTTGCTGCAACGTTGTCCATATAAAGACTTACAATCTTAGAGTATTAAAAACAAATTCTATACCGGTTCCCTGAGAGACCTCCTCCTCATCTTCTGTGACAAAGTGTCCGATGCCAACATATCTAGCTATAAACACAAATCATAGGTGTATCAAAAAAAAAAAAATAGCGATTTTGTTAGCAAACGAATACGCGATTTTATATTATATAGTTTGCCATTAGTTACCTTTACCAAATTCGTCGACAACGACTAAAGCTCGCGCTCCTTCAATCGTTTTCATAATGAATGCGATTTGTTGGCACTGCACGGCGAATCCGGACGCCTCGTTCCGCATCGTTTCATCCGAGTAGAATGATGATTGAATAGTATCTAATAGAGCTGCAAGACCGCCAACAAGAACCATGCAACAAAGAAGATTCGCATATTAATTGTGGAAACAAACAATTACTCTATATTGCATGCAATGCTCTATGACTGTATAGAGTAGGCCTCCTGATTAGGCGTCTACCGTTTCAGGTTAGGATGTTAGGTTATACGTTATGTACAGTGCTGCTTTGGGAAGCAATTAATCAAGTTGTTGTTTATGTTCCGTAAAGGTGATTCTGGCGGCGGCGAAACTGGTCAGGAGTAAAGAAAATGGAACCAAGGATAGCGCTTTCCAGATGCTCTATCTCACTGCCATTTTGACTTGTCTTGTGAAAGAAATGGCCCACATACAGCCTGCACTGTTCCTAGTTCAGGCCTCCGCTTCGAGGACCGTGCGTGGACCGTTTGTCGAAAAGCCTGGCAGGAAATTCATGCATCTACTATGCTCCGCGGATTCTCAAACATTACCGACGGCTAACTTTTGCTACTAAAAAAGTAGAGCAGTTAGTTAAACATAAATAGTAGCAGTTAGGCTGTCCCAGGTTATCCCACAAGAGTCCAGCAAGGTCGATGTTTTTCTAACAGGCGCAACCCAGGCCTGTGCCTCTAACCAAATATCTAAAAAAATATAAAGGATCCAAATAAGTTTGTGGTAAATAAAAACACTGATTTTACTTTATATGCTACAAAAGTTCGGGTCATCTGTGTTGAATTATGCTTAATTTAATTATTTTCGTTTTTCTTTTTTATTCATTCTTTTCTGGAATTCAAATCAATTGAAAAAATCAAATCAAAGTGATGCTGATGTTGAAGATTTCCCTGATCATGACTAATCATTATAGCTTCATATAAAGTAGCCTATCCCTAAAGCATGGTGCATAAATTGGCTATCTTTTATATATTCGAAATAATGGCATGTTTGTTTCTCAGCGAAGCTAACGTCCGTCATAGGTTGTTAGTTGGGTTTTAATTATTAAAATTCAAGAGATGCAGAAAATGTTTCTGTCTCCGACGAAAGACTACGATGTACGATAAGTTCACCCTAAAATTCGAAAAATCTATATGGCTGAAAGACAAATTACGATTTAATTAGTCCGCCTGGTATAGTATCTAGCCAGGGCTACTGATACTCTTTAACGACAGTACTGAATTCGATACTGCCGTATATCGCAACCTGTCCAGATCGGTGACGGACATGCATAGGCCTTTGTTGCAAGACTATTCAGTTTAGATACAATCCTTAGACGTTTTAGACGTGAACTGTATAAGATATTAACTCGAACCTCATCCATATTTAGCATTAATCTACTACTGGATACGTGTTAGTCTCGTTCCCAGACTTTGCTTAATTCTATACTACGTACGACTATATGCATGTACGTACGACTACTGGGACATGTCACAAATTAGCTGGGATTGAAATCGGAAATTTATACCTATTTTGGCTTTTTGAGCAGGCACCGGTGCACCGAGATGAGCGAGAAAAGCGATCAACGCACATTGACGCAGGAACGTCGATTTGCCACTGGAATTGGGCCCAGTTACCACAAACACCCGGGCAGGATTTACCGATATCCAGCTGTTGGCTTTAACCGTGCCTCGAGAGCGTTCCATCACTTCCAGAAGAGGGTGAATTCCATTCCTTTAAAGGTATTCGATTCATTTTCCCATTAACAGACATTGACGTGTGGCTTTTAGATATGATCGTATATACGTATAATGATTAGACTGACACTAAATACACATGATCTCTAGGCGGTGTGTGGTAGCAAGACGTGACTCACACTACGACACAGATGTTTTCTTCAGTGATCTGAGGCCGAGCAAAATTCAGTTCATTTCCGGTTAACGCCAGTGCGAGGGTTGCGTCTAGCGTGCAAAATGTATCCACCGCATTGAGCAATGTCGTAGCATGGGTCAGAACCTGTGGAAACGATTCAGCAATATCGGGCAACTTCAAGCCATAATTAAATGGACGAAAAAACATGACCAACTGACACATTTGCGGTTAAGCTTTACGCCCATCATGGACATAGGGTAAACCATGACCATAATAAAGGCACGGTTGTTAAATATAGACTGAGTCTGAGAAACGAAGAACGAATGAACACCGACCTGTCTCTGCAGTTGTCGATAAATCGCGTGCTGAAGATGCATCAATTCGTCGTAAACGTTACCGTACTTCTCGTGCAGCAAAGCCGTTCCGTTACAACGGAAGAACGACTCGTCGTCCATTGATGCCACGAGCTCCATTGTTCTTGTCGTCTTAACCGCGCGTTCGTTAGCGCGTTTCGTCCTAAAGACGAACCCCATGCACGGCACGTAATTAATGCACCCTGTATAGAAGGGATCGAAACGACACGTAAGTAGCAACTCAGAGATAGTGTTTATTGTAGACGATTGAAAGTGGCGTAGACAATCCGTCCGATCAAGGATTTGTTGCTCAATAATTAGCGACACGTTTGCTTGTATCAACTCTCGACTAATTTAAATAAAATCTAAGAACAAATTCAATTAAAGATTCCCCATGAAAGTACAGAAAGTGGAGGCAATTCAAGGAGGAGAAGCTTACGCGAGTCCCAAACGGTATCCTAACAAAATGTTGCATAATATTCTCCAGGTAACGTTAAGTCAAACACTCCTAGACACAAAATCGTTCCTATATAATGTTTTATATGAAGTATGTTTACATATGAACACGTCCTATCTTACTGAAACGGGTTAAATCGCCATGTAAGAAAATGGCAGAAAGAGCAATAGTACGTAAGTGTACGTCTAATATTTCTTACCGGTTTGTTGTATTTGCGTGTCGGACTTTGTTGGCTTTGCAATTGTTTTCCATGCACGAAAAAAAGGAAATGCGTTTCTCTCATTTATCAAAAGGCGACTATGTAGCTACCCTGATTATTATATAGAGTCATATTGAAACTCTTCAGGAATATGAACGAAGCATATGTACAGATGACAGCGAATAGGGAACGTCGTCAACACGTAACAGCCGAAGGTCATAGTAGTTGCTTCCACAAGTTGTACGCGCACAACCTAACAAGAGGCTAAGAGGAATCTATTTGTGAGCGGTGCTACTGCTACGGGCAAGCACTCGAACGGCTGGCTCGTTCTGATATAAAAAAAAAAACGTGTCTAACACGGTTTCGAATCTAGACGACTACATGTTTCCAACTTTGGCAGATAAACACGTTACGACTGTACTACGATGGAAACAACGTAAAAGTAAACGAAGTTTTTAAGCACCATCTTTAATTTCCGCAGGAAGGCGCTCCATCTCTGTTCTCGCCAAACGTTTCATGTCCTTGTCCATCTCGGCGCTGTATAAACGCAGCCGTTTAGCATCAAGCTCGGGATCGACTCCTTCTCGTACAGGAAATTTCTCGTCCGGGTTCTCTTTAAAGGCTACAGCCATAAGATAGTGGGAGCGAAATTAAAATCTAGCGAATGCCATTTGAGTGCGATGCGATATAAACGTCCACTCCAACAAAAGGTCCAAAAACAGCCAATCCATTTAGGCATCCACAGATCGCAATGTCTAATGGTACAACTTTAGCTTTCTTCCTATTCCTAGGCCCTATAATCGCTTTTCACTATTGCCTAAAAATCTGGCAGGAAGGATTTTGCTGGGTTTATCTGGGCCTTCAAAGGTATGTATCCACAACAACATGTCGAGTCATTGCAGCTATTGAGCCCACGCACTGTTCCTCTATGTCAGTGCTTTCGGTAACTTCATTCAAGACGAATTTCAATACGAATCCATGATTTATTTACCTTGGAAATCGACCACGTTCTCAATTATTACGACGAGCTCTGCGAATACTTTGTCGCAAGCTTTAAAAGCCGCAACTAGAGCCGGGCACTCATCCCTGCGGGATGTCCCAGCAATAAGATCCTGCACAACGAGTATTGATTTACACGTAGACAAGATGCTTCTCCATTCACCAGCCGGCGTTTCACCTGCAATGCACGAGGGGCAACATTGAACCATCGATATAATTGCTTCTGGGCATATACTGAGTGTATACGTATGTCTTGATACGTAGCTTTTATCTGCATAACCCAATCATTGTCTGTCTCAACTTAAACGACAAGAAATTACGTGACACCCATCACTCATTAATATTTACTGAGATTAATAGTAATTATTATGCTGCAGGCAATATGATGACTTCAACGATAGAACGTAACAGAACTTTGTTCCTAAATCGTCCTCGTAAAGAGAATGTGTGGGTGGTCGTATTTTTTTGCTTATTGTTCTGGTCAACTGAAAGAAAATTTAGCCAAGCAATATTATCTCGCCTTTAGCTCGCGTGTATTGAATATATTGATTTAAAACAAAGGTGTTCTTGGCTTGAGTTGTCATTCACACAGCTTCAACACGTGACGTGGCCTTACAGAAGGCTGACATCATTATGTTGCCATTAAACACGTCTTTCCCTTCAGGACTTCATTTGGTTTTCCTTTTCGGTCACATTGTTATTAGAAGTGAACAAAGTCTCCGACTGAATGATCGTTACTGCATTGTTTTGACGAGATAATGATAATCGTCTGCGTCTGTCTAAATTTGACAAAAGTAATAACGACCAATGGAAACTACAAGTTATCACAAAAAAAAATTCCTGATACACGATTTCATGGTTCGGGATGTAAGGAGTTGAAAAAGCAGGACTCTGCTTGCCAATAAGAAGCCGACTGACGTTAAGATCTCTTTTACCGCTCTTTGTTACCGGTGAGTGGTTGTTTATATTTGGGTAGCAAAATTTTGTCATTCCGATTTAATGGTAGCGCTACTAACGAAGGAAGTAGTTTTTTTTTTCTAAATTAGATCTTTCGTTCAAGTTGTTTGAAGATTTCGAACAGTGAAGTGCGTATTCTGTTCTGGAACGGGTATTCGCATCAAAAGTTTAATGGAAGTAATCTGTAACAAAAAAAAAACACGTCCCAGTACAGGTTTGCTAAAAATAGCTATTCTTAAGGTCAACCCACGACATCGGAGCTGGAGTCCTTCTTGTTTTTCGTTTCATGGCGGCCAGGGCAAGAGCTACCTGTTCGCCTGAGTGAGTCGAGAAAACGAGAGATTGAATGTAATTACTGAAACCGCTTTTAGGCATCATGCGGTGCTAACCTTTTCGTGCTGGGTGATAGCAAAGGTGGTAGTAGTCGTAGTAGCGATGGTAACCGGTCATCAGCTAGCGGGACCTGACCCATGAATTCCCAATTTATTATTCTCATGGTTTGACAGTGCTGTCAGAGGGTTTCCTAACGTTGTGTTGCAGTGAGATAAGCTTATCGGGTTGGAGAGCGCGAAGTTCAACGAGGTGGTCTCTTGAGACCTGGCCCATTCTGCTAAATACTGCGCCAGGAAGAGCTTGTCAACCAGGTATGTTCGGTAAGCGGGACCGGGGGCCAGCCCATGGGCGGCAAAACATTTATAAGACGCCTTAGCAGAGCTGCTTTCTGATGAACCATATGCCACGCCAAAGAAGATGTTTAGAGAGTTCACACTTGTATGATACGTTTGTAGACAGAGAAACACGCGCACATACATAGCCTAAGCTGCGCGAAGAATAACTGTATGTAATAACCAACCTCATTCGAGTAAGTAGATCCGTGTTCAACGATGGTAATCAAGTAGGACTAGCAAGCATAAGAAAGTCACAGATTAATATTAGCAAAACGTTCTTGAGTACGCTATTACCTCATAGTATCGATACTTTCGATCTGACTAGGGAGTGGTAACAAAAAAACTCATAAACGACTGCATTATGTTCGTTTCATTACGGGGGAATAACGTAGCCTATCACGCGTTACCCTGTAATGTAAAAAACTAAATTGCAATCGCGTTCGGGAACAGAGGGATAGTAGCGCGTCGTATCGTGAGAGCTGTACAGGCTTCTCCCTAATTATGTCAACTGGTATATATGTACATATATGCGTACATGAGGCTTGAGTCCACGTACTTATAGGTTAATTTTATTCAGAGATGCTTAAAATGGCTCTATAAAGTAGGGCTGATAAGTCTTGGTGACTGTTTCATAAGCTTGCTCAAACATGCCTCAAAGTTATTCTCCACTCCTCTGAGTAAACAGCTTTCATGTCACACAAAATATGCTCAGTATAATTTGAAATTTAAAACAAGGCTCCATGTATCCCGTTTATGACCCAATAATATCTACAAATACTTTATAGATATATCAATTTAACTTATCTAGTCGCAGCCAAACGAAATTCGGCAGAGTTTAAAAGCTTGGCATGCTATCGGGCGATCCAAGCATACGATTCAGTCACTGACGATTTACCACGGAAAGAATTGTCATAAAGTCGAAAAATGTTGTCCACCGAAACACTCTTTGTTGTACGTAGGTGAGCTATGCGTAGGTAAACTGTACAGTTTGTGGCGTTGTAATAAGTGAAAATTTTGCTCTTCAACTGCCGTACGTGCCGGCTTCAGAACGAGTCTTTCCGTAATGGCACGGAAGGGGGTGCGCCCTAACTAATGAAATGGGGTCGCCAACACGGATGGCCGACGTCGATGATGATCGTTAAGCCGCTAGGCGAAATGGAAATGCGTGGATTCGCTCTATTAAACCACATACCGCGCATTTCGTTTTCCTGCTTTTCATCGATTTCCCTTCGGTATACTCGCGCATAAATCTTTCCCGGTAGATGATACAACTAAAAGCCCCTCGAGGATAACCTTCAATGGGCAGATTGGCCGCTCTGCAACAGAAGTGTGGCACATATGGCTAGAGGTCATCATACGTGAATGACAGTTATCTTCAGAAGTTTCGAGCGCCTTATATAGTAGCGTGCGACAAGGTGGATGCTCATGTTCTCTGGGAATGATTTCCCGAGATAATACAAATAAGTACCGATGAGGCAGGTGCTCTGTGATTCCTGTCTGTGTATCGTTAATTTGACCATATAATAAATAAACATTATGACCGTTTATTTATTTCTTAGATAATATTAATTAATAGTATTACCGTGAAAGACGACGCAGTCAATTGTTTTGCAGCGTTTTGCTTTTAGCTGAGCTAGTGGATACTACGATGGCGTCATCAGAATACCTACTGCGTAAACATATTATGTATACCAGAATCGAGTAAGGATTTTTAAGTAAGGACTTCCCGTAAGAGCTGGAAACCGAAAATAGGCTTCCGTTGCAAAAGAATTAGGCTAGTGGCAAACCTGCAGAAGGTATAATCAGCCACTCGGTAATTTCGAATGAAACGCGAAAGCGAATGGCTTCAGGCTTACGATCTACATATTCCAGGTCTATCCTGCTTAGCGTTCATATTCATCTCCTACAATCTAGAAGATAGTGAACTAGAAATGTAAATTACCTCTGCACATGTTGAGAAGAATATAGTCTACTCGTTTAATGTTCCTTAGCGCTTGACTCAGTGCTTTAATGAACTGACGATTTTCCGGATCGGAGAAATACGCTAGAGAGGTAAGTCGATCTTCGACTTCGTGACGTGAATTTGGTGGCGCTAGAAACATAGATCGAAGGCGAGAACGACCTAGGGAGCAGTGACGTTCAAACAGCTGAAAGACGCTCAGATCTGGAAAATGATTTCGGATAACAGCCATTGCATATAACCATGGAATTATTTTAGATTTACTTCGTTATCGTTTAACTTATTTACTTAGTTTCTCACTATTTATTAGAAGATATTCACATCCTTGCAACCCACACCAACGCTGTAGTTCTACGCAAAAGAAAAAAAAAACAAAAACAAATAACATCATCTCGTGTCATGGTTTTTTCTAGAGTGCACATTGCGCGATAGAGTACTTAGTTCAGTGCAAACCAAATGAAACCCCGACTTTACCAACTTAAGCCAGAAGTTTGAGGACGAAAGCGCGTGATGGGATTCTTTTTTCAGCTATAATCATATTGCTCAGACGGTCTAATTCGTTCAAAGTTACTCCGTTTAGATATCTGTCAAACCAATAGAGTTGCCACTATCTTGCGCCGGTCTCTGCTTACTATGGAAACTAATTAACACGGGTTGGTCGTCATCTCTTTGGCTAGCTTATACTTCTGCTTACTTCGGCAAGAATCTGTTCTCAATTGGAATAATATTAATAATGACAGGACACAGATAGCTCCCATTCTTTGCTTTACATTTTTGAACTTTTCCGTATAGGTTTTTCTAGCAAATAGGTTAGCTTACTAGACATGGAAGATTTGATTCTATGAAAAGAACGCCCGACTCTCAATTATATTGCTAACGACGGCGATAGCGTTTCTGTCCACTTGTATCTGGTTCAGATATTTAGATATTTTTTTACGTTAAATCTAATATCAATTTCTCCCTGATTCGGTACCTTCGGTCCCGTCTGAGCCAGTACCGAATCGGTTACTATTTAGACGAGTTCTCCAAGTAGAGGGCGTTTCTGCAGAAAAAACGTGGAGATCCCGTAGGGTTCTGTACGATATAACCAGCTGACCGAAATCTGCTCCGCGATACATTCCTAAAGTAGCGATCACAACGCGCGGGACGGCTGTTTCAACATCGCTGTCTTCATCGCCTCTACAGACTGTTTGAAAATCGATCCCGCCTAACAGCTGAAGATAATCCCGTGTGGCGATCCATTGTAGGAGTGCACCTATTGACCGGAGGGACACATCCTGCGACAGATCTAGAACGGTTCTGGCACAAATTTTTCAGTGCAAACAAAAGGTCAACGATATCAGACTGATGCATTTTTAAACTGATGCGGCTCCTCCTTTCTTGAAATGCCGGCGCTATAGTCCTGGCTCTATTTTTTAATAGGTTTCTTTCGGGGGTTGTTTAACGATGAACTACGTAACTCGGCAGACGGGTACATGCGACATAACAGAACTCGTACATGTTTCTACGTGACAATTTTCTACATTAAATCGAATAATATATTTCCTAATAAGCGTCTGAACCTGTGCTCTACCTGAGGTAAATCATTTTCTCTTCTAATGAAAGCGTAGTATAATCTTTTCCATCGTGTGACCCTTGGAGATTTAGATTCACGAGGTGACGAGTGGCCTCCGTTACCTGTATCTGCTGGGGAGGGACCTTTTCAATGTGAACTTGTGGGTGTAGTTCGGTGTAGCTAAAAGATGAATTCAATAAATGTCAGTGAAGGTTAATAAAATAGTCTATTGCGAAATTTTGAGCAGATTCGAAACTCCTTAGCATCCGTCTTGCTATGCGATTAAAGGTATTACATTCACTCATTTCTAGTTTACGGATTCACCGATGTTGGCTTAGCCTAGGATCCTCGATGGGTATTTGTATTGTTAAACTTTCAAGCAAATGTGTCTCTTAGTTCAGTGGTTCAGTGGATAAGTATACTGACTAGTCCAAGGCAAGAACAAGCGAATCCTGGGCGTTTCTACTAATTAACACGACTGATGGCTGAAGTCGACCAAGAAGCGTGCGAAGTTGCATCTGATGCCGACCCTGTTCATGCACCTGTGTTACCATACGAACCTACGGAGAGAAACACCAACATCTTACAAACACCATTAAATCGAACTAAGCATTGCTTAAGACAACGCGCTTACTGATCTCGTATTGTCTACGACTAAACCGACCGCCCGAAGCATATTGCATAGCTAGCTTCTCTTCGTTATGGCTTACGAGAATGTTTTCTACATCTGATTTTATCAACTGGTAGCTAAGATTGCAGATTTGCCACTGATAATACATATGGGCGAATATACGGTTCGAGTCGATGCAAAGATAAATCTCAAATGAACTGGGTAATTTTCTTGATATCGTAGTCCTTCTCTGTTTGTTGGATTTTGCCAAGTATACTTCATCTCGTGAAGGCACCCATCGAATAATGATCCACAGATACTTGTAAGGTTAGCACAAAGATCGACATCGGCAAAACTTCTGATTTTTCTACACGAACAAAGTTCACGTCATATCACTTTCGTGTAATTTACTACCGTACTAAGCTGTCTCTATTCTACCATATAACTGGGACGAAATGAAAACTCAGAATTGGACATCTGGGACGCAAAGAATGATTCCGCTCAGTTTACTATGCCTGGGATTTTATCGAGTCAACCCCAGCCGCTGACTTGCTTAGCGATTACAAACGCTTTTAAATGGCTTTAATTTTATTACTAATTTTACGTGTCGGTACTCGGTTACTGCTGGCGTATTTTTATGGCTGCTGAAACTGAAAATAATCCTCTCAACAATTTTCATTATTTCAGCGGCAATAAATTATGTTACTAAAATGTCTATTGTTTTTGTGCTGAGAGACGTATTGACTTGGATAATTTCGAAAACCAACTGAATATTACAAGAAATCGCGAGTGACATTTTTTTACAACACAAATAGTTCCGTGATACGTTTTTGTAGTTGTTAGAAATGCCATCTTTGACGGTCATGCTTACTTGATCTAGGGGGCATTCATCACGATTTTCGAAATATTCCTTGTTTAGTCGGCAAATTACTTTTTGGTAGTACTCGTGCGTCAAGCTGTATTGATAGGTATAAATTCACCTGGATGGGCTAAGTACATTATATAAGCAGAATTAAGCTTTTATTTGCCAAGAACCAGGAAGGTAAGCGAAGATACGAGGGGTCAAGAAGTCAAAAAGACACACAAAAAATGCAAAATAGAACGATATACGTGAATTCGACTAACCGTTGGAGCCTATCTAGACGACCCAATTGACAGCAAATATAAATGGCCCCTCTAAAACAGCCGTTCGTTTCGGTATTATCTATAAACCTAGATGTACAGAATGGCTTCTTCAATGACAATATTTTAAATGTTCTCTTCAAATGTTTCGAAGGCCGTATGGAAATTAGCAAGTGTGGAGCGGAGCATCTAGGCGAAAAATGAAGTTTTCAATTTTCTTAAGTGGAATTCGCCTAAACCTGACACGTTGGATGGCAGCCGATAATTACCTAAACCTTTAAAACGGCGCGCGCTGAAACAAAGCAAGGTATTAGGTTTTACCGATTTATACTCCAATGCAGGTTAGTGTTTGGCCTTTCAATTTCGAAACTATGGTAGATTCTACTGGCTAAGAAAAAAGCTAAGATCAGTTCGAATTAACACATCAATGGACTTGTTCATCTGTTGTACGGTATATTATTCACTCGGATTTAATATTCCATTACATCGTGCGCCCCGTACACACTGCCGTACTACGAGCAATGGGTAAATAAACACGAAGTATCAGTCTCGTTCCTGCCAGCTAGCTCAGACTAATGGGAATCAGCCGTCATCTTTATCAGCGAGTTACTACCATCACATGCAAATATCAGATATTGATGATCGATATCGTTTAACGGGCGCGACAAAACAATGACCACATTAAATCTCAACAAAGCAGGGCATATATGTATATATATATATATTTGTTTTGTTGAGAAACGAAAGTTTGAAGCTGACAGCTCATTGTGTAAATGTTGTCCGTTATGCTACAATAGTGACCACAGTAACTCTACCTCAAGACGATTTGGCACATAGAAGGACGCTCCAAGCGTGCCTCCGTTCAAGGCAAGAGCGAGGACAGTGTGATCGTTCGCCGGTTCATCCTCGTCTACGATGATCCTTGTCGCTGAAGCTGGCCTCGTCGAAACGCCGCTTGTTGGGAAGGAAGGTGATCTTCTTGGCCTCCCATCGCTTTGGCCTTTTTTACCTCTTTTCGACCTTGAGCACTGAGCGAGCATCGACATAGCGTCATCACAAAGTTTAGCTCGAGACGATGCGCCGTAAGGTCAATCCGCAATTAAGCTAAGAAACATACGACGAGAGCGATGAAACTCGTTGACAGACATAGTATATTCGGTGTTCGACAAGAGCGTATCTGTACGATGGTGTCAGGTTCCACTGAGATGAACAAACTCTTGCCTCTCGTAGACTTTTGCGTGTTAAAGCAATGAAAATATGGCGTGACACACATTAGCGCCTTACTGATCATTGTCAAATGTGCACGCAGTTCCCTCACCTTTCCACGAGTTCCAAGCATCACGGGCGTCGGCTCTTGCCTGATTAAAGAGGGGCCTCTGTTCATGTATTGGCCTGCAGCAATCCTTCTTCAGACAAATTCACGAACGTCAACAAAGCACAAGACAAAGATAGGTTAATCTGCACTTGGCTAAAAGCAGGCTGCTAAAATATCCTTAAAAAGACTGCATTTATTTGCATACAGTCACTATCAATTAAAACTCAGTAATGTGTTATACTAGTATTAAGGACGCAAGCTTGTCAAAGACGTCTCAGGCGGATCGTTATAGACAAACTAACAGGAGTTGTCTACTCGCACAGCCAAGTGATAGGCTTTAATAGCCATTAGGGGCCTTTCATCTTTAACGTTGCGATACTTGGATAGAAAAAGGCCTAGCATGGGGTAAGCGCTCCTGCTGCAACAGGCTTCAGCGTTTCGGCCTAGTGCAGTGGCTTCTGACCATTTTTGAGCCTAGGTTTGCAGCTAAACATAATGTGAGTTGAACCGTGAGTGAAATCACTAACGTATGCTGTTCTTGAGATGCAGTCGAGCAGCGTTGCCAGCCATGTGAAATTTCATAGAAGAAGCGATGCAAATGTGCTCGGGAAGATGGAGGAGGATGGCTCGAGGCTAGCCAGCTCGTTCGCTCCGAAAATCCGCTCATACAACTAAATACGAAAGTGTATTCGTTATAGGCGTTTCCCTTTTTCCCTGCTACTCACTCTCCTACCGCTGAAACATCGATGTACGCCGCTAGATCTGATCGATTGTTTACTAAAGGTTCGAAAGGTTTGTCTTCGTTATCCATTGGACTCCAAAGTAACTCAAAGTGTGAACTAGTCCTGTCATAGTTGATTTCGAAATAATTCTTCGTCGTAGTGTATAGACGCCGTTTCCAAAACACGACGTTCAGTATTTCGACGAGCCGAACAACGTATCGATTGCAAAATGATATAAAACACCCAACTGTTTCACCTATTTTTTATCCCTGTGTTTATCAGTGTCGGGGAGCCGTCTGCATCCAATCAAGATCGTGTTACTTTTTTTGGCCTAGATCTTTACGAGGCTACCCGAGGCGTATATGTCCCTGCTTACGAACACGCAATTTCTTTGAGCAGTTCGTTCAGCTGCATTACCGTCAAGTGCTTGTATATTACTGCAAGCTGTGTTGTGCGTCAAATTCTACCGGGAACTCTTTTTTTGGGATCATGGCGACAGTTCTCTTCATAGTCGTAGCCAGTTGCGAACAACCCTTGTTGGCTGGACGAAGAAGCTCTCGTTTGAAAATATGTTCATTGTATTAGTATGTCGAACATGTGTCTCATTTGATTCTCTATTTGTCACTACTGGCCAATCTGACCGTTTGCCAATCTTTTTCCGACATATTTAAACCATGTAGATTGTCCAGCGAGCTCCAGCCCGCTGATACATTGTAGAAAATTTCTATTTCCTTATAAAAATATGCGACGTTTCGTGGATCGGTCATTTTGATCGGACGCAATAGAAATGGATGTACAAGAAGTGCTGGTACTATGGTGAAGCTACATGAAGCTATGTGAACGCCAACAATAAATTTCACAAACTGGAAAGTTTTAATGAGTTGAGTGGTCCAATGTCAGCTCAAGTTGACCACGTCTTCTCACACAAAATACCGAGAGAAAATTCGGGCTAACCGTGCACGGCCATCGTACCAAAGTAGATTTAACTACTATTTAAATACGAACGCTCTGTTTATTTGAAAATACAGGACTAAACAAGGGGCATGTCTTCGACATCATTTCTAACCTTTTCTAAGTGTGTTTGGAACGTGGCATTGGCTAGAGGATCATAGCTGTCAAAATAACTGTCGATCTCAATTCTCAATTCTAAGGAATTGACAATGTGAGCACACATTTTTAGAAAGAAACATATCCTTCATGACCATTTCACTGAATAGCAGCTAATCTTCAGCGTTGGGGCAGAAAAATGATCATCATTGCTCTATAGAATTTATAATTCGCAGTGGTAAAATCACGGATTGTGAAGCACCGACTATGGATTGGCTTGTATTTCATCGTGGCGCTGCCGCTGGACAAAATCCCATAATGTGTTGCTGGATTAAACATTTCCAGAAATGAAATTATCGCGCGACCCTACAGCCTCCGATTCCAGCAACAGCATAAACAGCGCGGAACAATTCAAACAGAAGTTTCCAAAGGCAATTCACAGCTCTACTGGGGAAATCGAGATCGATCATTCCGCCTCAGTTTTCGAGGCATAGCTAGAGAAAATCGAAAAACTTAGGTTATCCAGTGACGCAAAACACTCACACAGCTCTCTGGCAGTGATGGCGTCTGCAAACATACAAGTTCGATGGCAAGTTGGCAATAACCACTGGATCTCAATGTACTTCTATAGAACTTCACCTTAAAACATATATAGAAAACGAAATAATGTTCACTTGCTGTCGTTTTACTTCTATCCACTTGGCTAAGAAGCTTAAAACTGACCGACCTTGGATTTACGTTAGCCATGATCTTGGCTGTATAGAACCTGTATATTGTTAACTGGTTTGTACAAATTGTTGTTTGCTCTAAACATTAGCCCATATCTGATACCGCGAGTGCAATCGCTTCTGATAATAGGCTCAGCTAATAAGCTAAGTTATTACCAAGAGAGATTCGCCTCTTTGCCTTAATCAGCGCAAGGATTTCATTTTTTGTAAGATCGTTAGCAGAACTGTGTTCCATGCGAGGAAAATTGCTACCGAAGAAACCTCCTAAGAAGCACAAGTAGAAAAGGTGTGACTACGAAGCATAGCACGCATCTTTCGCTGCAGTGTTCTCAACGCCTCGATCTTGCGCCAAGAGTGTCGCGCAGGGGCCAAGAAAAGCCCTTCCCCTTACTCCTAGCCGTATGTTGCGTTTGAAGGGAAGCTATCTTACGTACCTTTCGTCGTTTCTCGTCAAATTATTAACAATCCTAAAAAAAAATACGCTTCACGCGATACAGGTTACGGTCATGAACTAAAGCACTTATCTATCTGTCGTTGATTCGGTGTCGCTGCGTACGTTCAGTTTGACCCGTTGCACGCAGTGTTCCATATCCACCACAGGGTAATTTTAGGGAAATCGCAGGTTAAATAGCTTCTTCATTCAAATTACAGTTTTAGCGTAGTCCACTTTCTCAGATTTCTCTTCAAAACGCATCTCTTTCTTTTTAGAACCACTATTTCTCTCTTGCTTTTTCTTTTTAAGTGTAGTGATAGCCATGCTTCTACCTTTATAGACACATATACATATACGAGTGTGTGCCTAGGTACGTTTGAACCGAGCGACCTTATGGCACATCGGCGTCATTGCAAGTTCGATTCTAAACTGGGTTAGCCGCCACGCCGCTTGGATCATTGCCCACGCCACTTAAGCTTACGCTAGTTTGCGCTGCTCAAAGCGTGAGTTCAGCCACAACCGCCTTTGCTCGAACTCTTTTCCGTCGACCCAAAAGTTCGCGAAGTGGAAAAAATTCCTGAGCGCTTATGCCCCCATCCACCATCTCTTCCCTTCCTTCTAGCTACGCATAACATGCGTTGGTTGCTACTCAAAGGTAGTCAACGTGCGTGCATGTTTGTGTTTGCAGTGGTGAGTTTAGACAGACGCATGTCTTCTTGCCTTTCTTCGACTCGTGTCCTGGCCACGTACGCTCCGTGGCGATCAGTATACCGATAGACCGATTGCTTTGCATGGGGGAACGTGTATGATTTTGCTGGTTTTACTTGGTTTATTGCTGCTGCTGCTGCTGTAGAGGCAAGCGTGTGCCAGCAGCGTCCGCTTCTTTTTCTCTTCAGCTTCTAGCCACTGCTGCATTCTTTTCTGTTGTTGTTGTCGCCGTATTGAAGCTTTGCAATTCGCCTCTAGCAGGGTGGCGGGGAAGACGACTTCGCCTCTTGGTTTCTCCTTTTTGGTGGCGGGCGCGATTGCTTCGCAGCCGTCGTAGCTATCGAATAGAAGGGGACAGCTGCATTGCTTCCGCGGCAAGTGTAAGAGAGTGGGCAATTCGGCTCACATTGAGCCGCTGGTGTGTATAGGCTGCGCGTAATAGGCTGGTATGACCACTGGAAGGCGAGTTAGACCCAAAAACCCACATAATAGAAAAGCCAAAGGGGCAAGCGAGCCACCAACCAGCACAAAGTGAGAAGCGTACCGGAACAATGGCGCTGGCCAATTTAGCCAATAAAAGACAACATATTCTTGAATCCGAGATAAACCGACTGGGAACCCGGTATCGGCAAGCCCACCGTTCCCTTCCATCACTTACTGGTCAGAAATAACCTTTTGCGGATCGGACACCAAGTGGCATACTGTGATTTCTTAAAAGCTGCAAAGACATACAAAAACATACAAGCATGGACAGATCGAACGGACCAACCAATAGGGTTCATTGCCGGAACTCAACATCAGTGGCAGTTCGGAGCATGTAAAGTCAGAGAGTGCGTGCCTTTATGAAGACAGACAAAAAAAAAAAGAATAGAAATCAAAATCTAAAAGAAGAGAAAATAGAACGCAAACGGTTGATAGAGTAAAAGATGAAGCGCAATGGAGCTTTAGAAAAATGGGCAAAGGGGATAAAAACGATCGGTGAAAGTGACGGTACGTGTATGTTTTTGCGTATGCATCTATGTGTTGTGTGGTTATATGGTGGCTATAACAAATTCATATTTCCGACTTGCACTGTCCAACATGAGCTCCTTCGATCTGCAGCCTGCAAGGGACCTGAGAATCAGCGGCATGGCATGCGGGATGACGCCTACTGAGCAAATGGCACGAGGCCGATTGCCTTTTAGCGTCTGACGCTGCGGTCAACACTCTGAGAGCCAAATGAAAGCTTTAAACTAAACTCCCCGCTTACAACTCCCCGCCACCTCCTAAAGAAAAGCGGAGACGTTTATGTATGTACTTGGTTGCGTCGATTATAACAGCTTCTCGAAAGCTATTTAGCAGGTTGAAAAATGTTAGTAACTTGTAAATTATATAGCATTAGCAGATGCAACTTATAAAATATATGAAATTCTTATGAAATTCTTAGCTATCTGCAGCTACAAGCTCGTTTAGTCTCACCAGAAAACAATTAATTTATTCTCGATGCAATCAATTTAACAAAAAAAATTGGAATATCACCGAAAAGCTGAGCCTTAAAATTTCGAAAAAACGAACGAAATGCTATGATCAGGGAAACATTCGGTTAGAACAAAGCACAAGCTTTCTTTTAGCTCAACATTAAATTGCTAGAAACATGTATTATAAGATAAAAACGAAATTATTGCCGGTTCGGTGCTGATTTCTAACTGATATGGTCTGATGCTCGTATCGAAAACAGATAAGAAGGCATTTGTTATTTTAAGATATTGCCCGAAAAAGTTAGCCGCACACAGTGCCAAGACATCTGCAATTTTTGATGGGCTTTTATAAATGTCTAATACGACAGTCGACAACATACGAACTTCTGGCCACGAAAGAGAACGCCTAGAGGCGCCTTCTGCCCCATATTCTTCACATTTAAGTGCGTGTGATTTCTCTCGCTTCCATGCCCTACGGAGTGCAATAGACGGCACAGTGTGTCGTACCATCGATCCTCTTGACCTAGTCATGGATAACAAGTTCAAGCGTGGTAATACAACCCATAAGAAGGTCTGTGAAAGAAGCTTTGGTGTGTAAATGACAAGAGATTGTACACCTAACACATAGCGAGATATAACGTTCTACATCATATGGTTCGAGAGTTAAATAACACACAATCCTCAACCTACCTAATCTTTAATCTTCAAATACATACGTAACTTGATCAGAGATGAATAAAATTTATCGTGTGATCTTACAATGGAATACATTTTGTAATACAAAGATCTAAACACATTGAACACGTTGAATTCGAAACAAGAGTGGTACCGTGAGAAAAGACGCCTAGATGTGCTACAGCTGAATTACTCTATTGAAATTGTTTTTCTATTCTTTACAGTAAATCTAAAACATCTTTATAAACAAAACTACTTGAACCAATGTTCCTTTTCAACAAAGCGTCTTTGTTCGCATATAAAGCTTCCGTTCATCAAACGGCATACACTGACGTCATATGTACCTTGTGCTAGACTTACATGGATTTCGGGTTCTTCGAATTCAACTTACTCGCTACGGAGACGCTATTTGTTGCGTATAGACGCTGTGGTGCGGGTTGCATGTGAAAGCTCCGCTGATGACGATTCCTGCAGTATAGCATGTGTCAAGTAATGCTTCATACAAATAACGAAACCGTGTGCGTCGGCGCCTTAGGTCGTGGTAACGCATACATAGAGTACAACGCTAGATAACGCTTGTTCCGCCACTTTATCAAGTGGAACGAGGCCGGCCGCTATCCGATCGTTGTTCCTTTGCTTGAACGGAGTAAATGTAGGTCATGTTAGCGAAGTAGCTATGCAACTGTATCGGTGCTTGACAAAGGACTGTTAGCAGTCCCTTTTCCGTCTATGCATACGTGAAAAACTTCCAACGTCCACAAAAAATTCTGGGAATGAAGAGAAAATGGAATCGCAAGGAACGGGAAGAACGGTAAAGAACAAATGAGGAAGACCAGCAGAGATACCGCTGGGGAAGGCGAACATTTTCCTGTCAGTGAACGCGCCCCTTCCCTCTATTCCACATGCAACCCCGTCAAACCCCTTCGAAAAACCCCCTAAGTTCCCGTACATAAACGGAGTTGTCAAGGAAAGCTCGGCTCGACAGCCGATTCAGATTCCGATCATTCGCCGGTCCGTTCATGTCTAGCCACAAGCCAGCCGCTTTCCCCGGCCAATTTGAACATGAAAGTGTTCCTTTCGGCGGCTGTCCAGCGAATGCGCGCGACGTCTAGGCGACTAGAAGCACATTTGTTCCCTACTAGGCTGGTCAAAGGCTAGGGCTGTGTTATGTTTACGCGTCTGGGAATCGTCGACCGAAGGTCTAAAGCGCATTGTTCCAGGATCTTTAAATGCAGTGGACATTGCAGCGGTGGGACGCCAACTTCCCTTCGGGTCCTACTCTGACCTCGCGAATGTATACTGTTGGAAAAGGCACCCGTTTGCACAGTCGTCGGCTGGGCTTTTTCAAGCGTCACTGGGAAATAATGGGCTCTAGCTCTGCGCCTCTGCCTGTGCTATACCCTAGAACGCCCTCCTTGCATAGTTCAAAGGCCCAGTTTAAGCCTTTTTGCCTGAGTGGACGAGGCAGCATCTTTCCTTAAAGTCAGACCTATAAAGCCCAACGCACCACAAAGACCATCTGGTTGGACGCCTCTGTAGCCACTATGTTACATTTCGGCTTCGGCTGTTTTGAAGTAGTCTCACAAAGAGGCAATCCTTCAGAGAATGTCATGTTGAGAATTCTATCCGTTGAAGACGCCCATTGAAGTAGCAGTATTACAACGCACTATACGCTACAACGTAGTGTATAGTAATTGCTCGCTTATAAACAGTCAGTAAAAAAGGCCTTTTGAAAATTAATTTCTAGTCTTCACGCTATTGTGTAAAGCGATTTAGTACTATAGCATTGTAATTTATGCTAATAGATTTAAACCGATTAAAAACCGAAAAAAGTACACATCCAGATTGACATTTAGCTAGCTGACGATCTGAGGAATTAAGCCTGTACTAAAAATAAAAAGCCACACATCGCTCCGAAGAATAGAGTAACTTTCGGTCTCATGTAAGTAGTATACCCTCATCATTAGTGCTCATCATTAGTGAAGTGATTATTAAATAAAACTGTACATAATTGATATGATTTGCCTGTAATTCATTATGGTACATCCAATATTTTAACATAGCAAATTTCAATGTTAAATACCGTAAAATGGGTAGCCTTGGAGCGGGTCAAGTAAGTAAAAATGATTTCAACCCAATTCCGAATGTTGATAATATATCGCAGCAGCAGCAGCAGCGTAGGATGCGTGAACAACCTTGGAAGGCTTTGGCTCTAGATTTTTCTAGTGCCTTGGCAACCTGATAGGTTCCAACAATATCGACAGATAGAATAGAAATAATATATCCTAAATTCATCTAAAGTTTGTTAGTACTTTACGCAAGATGTTCGACAGAACAACTCGAATTCTATGATCTTTCAAGCACCTAGCATATGATGTTTGGTATTACGTACAACTGCAAACGATGTTTTGCCTAGATCATTTCCATTTGTTGGCTTATGGTTTGTCAAACAGTAAAGGAATAAACCTACAATGCTGGCAAGTACGCCTAATATGTGCTAGTAACATCGACCTAAGCGACATAATTTTGGAGACTTATCGTCTCCAAAATTGAAAAGATTGCACCATATAGGTCTCTTGATAATGTGGCGTAAAACGTTTCTCTTCCGTATCAAAGCGTGATTCTCGCCCTTTGAAATATTTACATGAGCATCGCTCCTCGGGAGCGATTCTTTGTCGCTACGCTTTCGCATGAGTGACGCAGGGAGCTAAGCATTTTCATCAGTCCATAATGGACCTTTTTTTTTTTTTTAATAATAATGATGTTAAGATCAACTCGAAGAAAAGGAACGAATATTTATCATTCTCGCATTTTTCGTTCACGGCAGCTTTTCCGCATTTACTAAAGATTGGCTGGTTATTTTACCAGAAAGCCTGAGTGTTTGTTCGAACCCAGGTATGGTGCGTTGAGAGTCACTATGTCGTCTGACTATGCCCATCTAGTTGCAGCTGGTTAAGCTGCTTCTTTATGAAAATCCTCCAGCGTACAATAAACTAATCTCCAGTTATTTTGTACCATCTCCTGAAAAATAGTCGACTTTCAGCGATGCAGTCTCTAGATCTCATAAGTAGTATGTTTGCCAACAGCCTGCATCCTGTTCAAGTGTCTTCGATGTGAAGCAGAACTGCTTATACCCGTTGCCATTTGTAACCTCACAGCAAATTGCAAAATGATCGTTGTTTGAAGAAAAGCGGCCTTGGTCCTATTCAGATTGTAAAGCTACCCAGTTCGGTTGAACATTGAACATATTGAACATTTTGAACTTAGAATTTTTGTATGTTGTCTCGATTCTTCTCTCCCCATAGTGTTGTTGTTCAAAAAACAACACACAGCTATGCAAATTTAACCGGTAAGAAAAAAGACACGCGCATTTTACACTTCTGTAAAAGGACCTAACGTATTCAAATTTTTAAGTCGGGCATTACTTCAGATGGCTGAGCTTCAGCAGGAATTGAAGTGTGTCTATATTTGAGTGTGAACCTAATTAAATTAATATCCCTTCGCTCGATAGGCAAACACGTTACTACTGTCTATAAAAGTCTAACACAGTTCAGTTTATGACCTTAAAACCACAGCAGGCTAACGCTACAAACCACTATAAGTAACTAACTTTGGCAAATAATTGAAGACCTTCGACCTCAAGCACGACTTACATAGCGAGACGTGCCCGACGACCTTGGCCACTTCTTACACACTGAACTCGACCAAGTATTGTGGAATCGCTATTATCTTGCGATTTGAGAGTGGTTTTCGGCAACATTTTTTCATTAATGGCAGCATCACAGCCTTGGGCTATCGTAGAGATCAAGATCAGAATGCGCATACGGGCTGTTGACTCACATGCGCGCACCCGCCAGAGATAGGAGAGGCAAGTGCATCAATACCAAGCATATAACGAAGTCCAACTGCGAAATCTCGTGATTCTAACGAAATTCACACTTTGCCATTTCAATGCCAAAGGCAGAAATAGAGTCGAGTCAAGAGCAGGTCATACCAAGAGAACACACAGTAGTAGCTCTTGCGGAAAATGTGGTGAAAGAGTTCCAACGCAGGCTCGAAAGCGGGACCCTTGATAAATTGGATCCAACAACAATCATAAAGACGACTGAAGAAGTAGCGGCTCAAGAGAAGCCACAGTCAAAGTCCGGGCAGCCAGCAGAATCAGGGTCGTTTGCTCTACAAGACAGAGTGATCTCCTCGGAGGGTAGATCATCTTCACGGGAAAACGGAACAACGACAGCATCTTCTCCCAATGTAACGGTCCCGCTCACAGGTGCAATAGCCGCAACACGAATGGTTGCTGTCTCACAGGAACATGCAGAAGCTTCATCTTCGAGTACAACACCTACACCGACAAGTTCCACAGCCACACAAAGGAAAGTATCTGCCGGCCAAGGCAAAAAAGGTGCAAAAGTTACCACAACCGCAGCAGACAATGCAGCTGCCTCACCAGGTGAGACTGCATCACATGCGAACGCCAGCACTGGTTCGCCGGAGGACAAACCTGCAACCAATTCTGCGTCAAAGGATGAAACCCCTCAAGCACGAAAGACCACCTCAGCGCCGGCGGCAGCTTTAGAGCAGCTAGATACTGCTTCGTTAACGACTGAAACTTCTCAGCCAGTGGCGGCTAGCCCTCCTTCAACTGAGGTGACACTTCCACCTGACGACGACGGACCTCCATCTGCGAAGAAAGGTCGTAGGGAAGATTGTATTGTACAGGGTAGCGAATGCAGTTATGGGGTGGAAGGTGGCCTGGTAACCGAATCTTTGGAGTTACCCCGTTTTAATTATACTCCCGATTGCATGCCGGGGCGAAACGATGTTTTAGGTCTAGTACTAGCACAAATCATCAACCAAATTGAGGATGTGTTAGCCAATGACACTGCTGCTGAGGGTCAGGCTAATACAGGTCGGGGGGGTGCAATAAATCGAGGAGGTGGCATAGCAACAGCAGACGAGTGTCCGACAGCAAGTCGACCTGGCGATAACGACTCTCAATGCCAATGTCATCAGACCACGACAGCCCAATCGCTCGGCCAGCTTTTAGCTGGCAACACAATAACTCCAATCGTTATATCGCGTATCGATCGACGCCCGAGGAGGTCAGGCGAGAACAGCAATGCGAACCCAGATTGTTCTGACAATGAACAGAGCCACGGATCACTATGCTGGGGCCATGTGGTCGACTGCGAATCATCGGAGGCCTGTCGAACGAACGATTCGACGGTAACAATTCGAGGCGATACGACACCTTCACCCGGCGGTGAAAACATAACAGAAGATAATAATACACAGCAAGACCCCGACCTGTCCGCTATGAGCACGCCGAATGAGCGTATCATTATTATCATAGAACTCAGCGACTCTGATATGCAACAAGCGCTAGCTTCGAACCCAGCTGTTACTGCTGACCCGAACTCGGCTGCAACGGATGGGCAGGCAGCTGCAAGTACAAATGAGCTGCTACAGCCGACAACAAATGGAACTAGTCAAACGCCTACAGGTCCGACCATTGTATCATTACTAGATGAACCACAAACACGTTTTCAGCGTCTTCTCAGAGCTGCTCAGAACTCGAATCAAGAGGCTGTCAGTACCTCGAACCCACAACGAAGTCAGATCCGAAGACCACGAATGAGAGAGTCCAGCGACACTTCCAGCGGCCGATTTAGAAGACGCCACCCGAGAAATGAACTATCAACCAACGGCAGAACACCTGCTGCAATTGAAGGTATTAGCAATGAAGCCCCGCTAAACACGCAAACCCGTAACAAGCAGAAACGAAAGCTTTCTAGTGATCAGGGAGGATCACAAACGCGAAGCACCGACGGTGAGAAATCAGTCGAAAAGAAACGAAAAAGATCCAGGGGCTAAAAGAGTCTTTTGAGTACCTCACGTAGAAATGCTGGTTACCTGCTCGCTAACCTTATATCTAATTCGAGTTTAGGGCATTTTTTCGGAAAACTCATGAATAAAGCTGAGCTGCTTACGTTGATTTCAAGGGGAGGGAGCTACCTCGTTCCTTCCGATTGTGCCTGTGTTGTGAAAGTTTCTATCAAGAATACGGCATTTTATTCTTAATTAAGAAATACGAGCACCTATTGAAAAGAGCTAACTAGTTGTCGCATTACGAATATCGATATAAATAAAAAAAAAAAAACTAGTTTCTAATAATAGTGGTCCATAGTGGTTTCATGCTGGTTACTTTTCGTTGACTATGTTGAGTTGTCGTGTACAGGTTCATTAGACTTCATAAACATGTCGTTGGTAAGTAAGTTCATTGATTATATGGTGTGTCGAATAACTTAACTGAGAACGCATTAATGTGCGGCCACCCGTATTAACGGCCTGTTGAGAAAAATGTGTGGCCTGGCTTGGTCGCCCAACATATAACTTGTCGTATGTCATACGAAAAATATTTTCATTTATCCATATTTTTATTTATCCCCATACAGCTGCCTCAGTTCTGCTGATATATCTTAATAGGGTGGTGAACGCCTCTGAAAATCTTCGTCCGAAATATTCGTTGTACATTTTTTCTTCGTCTTATGTTTAAATGCTTTCTTTATTTCAGTGAGATGTACCAAAGTAGAAAAATATTGATTTCACTACCCTACGGCTTCACGGTTGCTTCCCAACAGAATCTCATAGTAATATAACTGAAGAGCGTTATTTGTGTCCCACCAACTAATGAGCGAATAACTTTGGTTACGAGATTTTAAACGTGTCAACAAGTTAGAGCCTTGACGCCCTCGGCCCAAAAAAGACGTTTGGAAGACAAAGAGACTTTTGATCTCTGTTGAATCTGAAGTATCGCCCAAAGGAACTAGGCAAAACTGTAGATTTCTCGGTGTTATATGCAAAATAGCGTTGCTACAGCGGTGATCCCCAAAATCACTCCTTCTAGATCCGCACCTGCAGAAGAGACCAACGCACATACAACGAAAATTATAGCTAAATCCATATACTAAATTGCCTAGCGCTTTTTCTATTCGATTCTAATAGATACTTTCGTTTGTTGGACGCAAAGATCGACGGATACATGTGGGACAAATGGGCCATTGCTTGTCAAATTGTAAAGTTATAGCAGTTTACAACGAAATGCAGTAATAGGAACTCGATGATGAAGTTAGCGTAAACAGCGAAACTAACACCTTACACAATGCATCCCGACCCGTTGCTTATAGGTAAGAAACCCAAATACGATTTAGCCAATTGGGACTGCGCCAATTATACAAGAATCGTATAATCCCATACCATCTTAATCATCAACGGAAAGGTAACTTGTAGCTGCTTGCTCCACATCATCTAATTATATTATGGTTATTTAAAATGAAAAAAAAAAACAAGTGTCGACCTACAAATTGTCTACGATTATTTTCCAATGTTTTTGAATATCGTATGGGTGAAAACGCGTTTACGTGAAACCTTTGCCACTTCAATATTGCTAAGTAATCATCCTGCTTACTAAAAGTTCTCAGCTTTGAGTTAGATTATATTGTACACTATGAAGAGAGATCTGCGCGTAGGTCTTCCTGATAGATTCTACGCATAGTGACAAACGTTCCATGGCCTTGTACATGGTAACTGGTATGGGTGCACACGTAAACGTTAAGGGACCGATAGGAGCATTGTGTTCTAAAACCGCTTTAGGGACAAATTGTATTTACAATTATAACCGAAGGAATATTTACACAGTGTCGTGCATATTTAATCGTGAATACTATTGATTGCGTCAACACAGGGAATGTTTATGGAATAGAAATTCGCTGGTTTATAAGTTGAAACACGGTTTTAACTTTATCGTGTTTTCGTTCATACGAATCCGCATGCGTATCGATCTTTCAGCGAATGTAAGCGAGCGTTTTGAAACAAGTTTCATCGAAAATTCTTTTCGAAAGGAACTTACTTAGTGCCCAGTGTCTCCCTACGGGGCGACCTCTGAAAGTTTGCCATACGCCTCTGTATGAAAACGATTTTCGTAGGTAGAATGGAACAAACAGATTAAACTGAAAAGGCTCAAGAAATTATTGCTGTGAATTGTGGAGGTTTCCATAGTACCACGACGGGATTACTTATCGCCTATAGGATCGTTCATTTGGGCTATAACGGTTAACCTGTTGTAAAATTTTTTCACAACTTTTTAAACCGTTCGGAACTTTTGACTTACTATCAACCCGCAGTGCTCCATGGCAACTCGTATGCATGGCATATTTAAGAGAGAAGAAAAAAGGCCCACATGCACTAGGACTACTTCAGATACGGTTGATACAGAGAAAAGTTATTGGCGAAATCGGAAAATTACTATAGACTTCCTTGCAAATATCGAGTGAATACAGTCGTTGGGTGTCAGTAAGCCTGAATTGAGCACTAGCTTGTTGCTTCATACAAAAAATTTGGGTTGACAGAAGAAGGATTATCCAAGCTAATAGTATGTACGTTACATAAACACGTCTATTACGAACCTGCCTGTCAGGCCCACACCGTAAGCAGTACAAGGTGTAGGTGTTAGATTCAGATATGACCATGTTTTTGTCGCTCACGATGAATGTGCTATGTTTAATAGAAAATTTCTTCGTATACGCCTCGTGTATATCAACGACATTTTGAATAGTGAAACTCATATTAGTACTACCTACAAAAAATTTGGATAAACTCTTTGCAAACTGTTTACGTGACGGGCATACGTTCATCTGCTATTCCTGCTACTAAAAGAACACTGAAATATCGTACGACATCGTGAATGTGTATTCCGCTGCAAAAGAAGCACGTTTCAGTATAAAATAGCAGAAAATACATGAAATGAATGAACAACACGGACTAAATACATTCGAAATGCATTTGTGATGATCCGTTTGTCCAGATCAAAGCGCTACAAAGACCTCGGATACGCGTCATATGCCATAGAAGTGAGATTGACGTTCTCTGAGGACAATAACATGGCTTTATTCAGACAGGTTGAATGAGGACACTGGGCCGTTGGCCAGATTTGTGGCACAGTAAAACCAAAAGACTAATTTCATTCATGTTATTTTGAGCATATTTGGAGCCTTTTTTCTTCCTCTGCATTTTCCTCCTCCTTAGTTTCCCACTGCAGAAATGATAGGCACATCCTCTGGATTGTGCCTATTGTAGGCGAATACAAATGTTCATGCATGAAGGTGTAGTGTCTAGTGACAACGATCATTACGCCACCATCATTCTGCTAGAAAGGTAAACCCCTTATTAGAGAAGCTTACTTGCGTGTTTTACATGCTGTTGTATAACCGTACATAGCTGGAAGTGTCAGAAAAAAAGATCACACGTTCGTCAGCAGCGTGATGCATCGACTTCTTACGAGCCGATCAGAGCTTGCTTGAAGATAATAACATACTTTGGGGTCAGCAAATGCAGCTGTCGAGAAGCCCAGATTTGAACCCGGCGGACTAATACTATGCATCGAGTGTTATTGAAAGTCATTAGACTCAACACGACTACAACATCCCGCTTACTCTCCCAGGCAGGCGTTCGCACATTCGCAATAGAGCATTGAAACAAGCCTGTGAGTGATATTGAGGATGTAATCACGGTGGATAGTAATTATATTGAATATGGCGATATTAATATGAACTCTCCTAGCAGATGTGGAAAAAGGATAAAAATTACAGCTTTCCTTTGGGCAGAGTTTTGGAAACAACTTGAAAAAAGAAGTCCGTATTTACACGCCTCGTTCTATATTTTACAAGAAGAGTAGTATTACACTATCTAAATATTTAGTTTTACGTCCGGTACAGCGTTAAGCGTTAAGGGCTCATAGCATGAAATTAGGTGTGTCCACGGCTGGACTCGAACCTAGACCACCAGCTGTCCCTTTAGCTTACGTTTTTTTTTTTTTTAATAATAATAATAATAAGGATAATACCTCTTCTAGCCTACAAACAGCAATGCTATAAAAATATGTCACAGGCTATATTACATATAAAATATTTATATACATCATCTATTTATGATGCATTAGATATCACAACAATATAATAATGCAAATGGTTTCTAATAATACAACACACTGGACAGTCAGTCGTTATTATCACACTCTACGCCGTACCGTCATAAACTGAATCCTTCCACTGAAAAAGTCACTTTTCTTTTGAGACAACCTCATTCGCAGTCTCCCCTTTAAGCATCTTCTTCGTTTACACGAAAATCTGTGATCAGGTTTGGATTCCAGAAAACGAAAATCTGTGGTCGGGTTTGGATTCCAGAAAAAAAGTCCAAGCTTCACAAATGACCACGATTGAGGTAAGGGATGATTCGTGGATGCTTGGCTATTATATTCTCCCTAGTCAAAAACGACGCGCTTTCCCATTCCGGGACACTCGTGGCGGAGCGGCATTTGATGGGCCATTTCGCTTCTGATCTGGCAGTTGCTGCTGTCGCTGCTGCTGTCGCTGTTGCTCTTGCTCTTCTTGGCTTTGTTCTGCCTGTTGTGTCTGTTCTGGTGGTAAGTCGTCTGGTTGCCTTACCCCAGTTTGTTCACCCTGCGTCGATCGAGCGCGCGGCCGCGGCGACGGTGGTAGAAGCGGATGACGTCCTTCAACGTTCTCCAGTGATCGACGCAGTGTTCCAACAGCTCTCGCCCGTTGATTTCTGGACCTCCTGGCGCGACCAGCGCGCGACATCCGCACTGGTCGACGAAGAAACACTCGCGCAGTGGGGTAACCTGGTGGAGGGACCGGTTCAGCGGAACCCCTATTGCGACGAGGTGTCGACCTCCGTCGACCCGTTGATTCTCGCGGCAGAATAGTGCTTCTTCGCAGCCCCGCCATGGACTCGTTTCTTGGCAATGTCTGTTCACTGGTGCTAGCGCTACTGCCCTCCTGACTTATCCTGATTACCTGGTCTAATAGTTGCCGTATACAGGCAATAGCGTGGTCAGGACGATTTGCGAGGTGGTTTGCTGCTGACTCCATAGACGGACTGGCGGAAGCCACGTGTAGCTGTTCCCTATTAGCATTGCCGGATGATCTCGTTTCAGCTGAATCGGCTGTCTGATGCCGATTCACTATGGGAAGCGGCATATTATCCGTAGATCGGTTGCTACCAGTGGATCGCTCGCTGAGTCGTAAACCAGCTCGTCTGCCACGGCGCCTCCGTAGGATTCGCGCCTCGGAGCTAAGAACTGGCAGCGGCCATCCTACATCGTGCGCCATCATTTGTGGTCCACGAAACCCCGAAATATCATCTGGGGATTGAAGAGGTAAGAAGTCCCTATCATCCGTCTCCATTATAATAACGAACTCATTGTCTCGATTGAGCAGAGCCGAATAATCGTCGCTCAGCGTATCGGAGTCGTCAGTGTTTGTCGCGTCGGATTCTTCAGCTAAAACCGAAAATCGTCCTCGCCATGGAGGGCCACGATTGTGATCGCAAACAACCGTCGCCAATGCAGTACCATCGATTGGCTGAGAACGTCCTTGCTGCTGCTGTTGAAGTTGCTGTTGTTGCAGTTGTTGCTGCGGCTGTGAAGCAGACTGTGAAGCAGGCTGTTCTTGTAATAGCTGGCGTTGCAATCGCTGCTGTCGCGAAGCATTTCTCTCTCGTAAATGGGCTGAGTGCCGCAGCAAGGGTAAAAATGGCAGCTCTGCTAGATCGGCAAGGGACTGAGAGGAAGGGCGACCGATCGAGATACGAGCGTGGTCCGACGGCCGTGTAACCACTGGTACCCCGTTCGAGGAACGGTCGAAGTTCAACGGCACATGGCGAAAGCGGAGACCCCTGTTACGTTGATGAGACATAATTGCGCCATCAGCATTGGCCAACATTTGCATGAGTAACACACCTAAACTATTTCTCGAACGATTGCGCATATCTTCAGGGTAGTCGAAACGCGGCATCTCCATTGGACTCGTCGTCAGTGCTCCGGCCACGCCAAAACTCTCATCATCGCCGTTGTTTTCTGCGCTCGGTTGAACATCCGATGCAACTTTCGATGCGTTTTTGCCAGGGCTCGTAGCACCATTTTGGGCACTGGCGCCATTCACACTTTCACTGGAAGCTAGGTTTGACTGCTTTGGTTTTCCGTTTTTGGCGGGTGCAGCTTTGACATCAGGCAATTTTAATATTTCCTTTAAAGAGACACGGTTTTCCTTACAATGTTGCTTAGCGATCAATTTGCGGAACTCTTCGGCAATTTTTTTCTCCATCTCCTCAGCCAGAGCTTGTACAGAGTTCTCTCTAGGAACAGCTTTGGCATCTCGACCGATTTTGCGTTTCTCCCTCGTCATTTTGGCACTTTTGTGCTGAAATTTTGAATAACTTCGTTTTCTCTTGCATTCGACTGTTTCTGTATACGAATTTTCATCTGTTCGGATCTCTGAGAGAATCGAGTTCTCTGTCGGTATGATCACTATTCGTCATGTCTGGATAATGCTTTCAAAGCTGTTGTCTTCGACATACCTGTTTCTGCTATGATGACCTCTAGTGGTATCATTGTCTTGAGACGGATCGACCATGCCTCAGAACGCTTATGGCTATCTGAAACGTTCAAATCAGCAAGGAATAGTTCGAACACCGCAAAAGTGTCTATATCAGCTACGAGTCCTGAATACAAATAGGATCGTATTGCGATATTATGATGAAGGTAATTCTACATATGCGTACTTGACAAACGGGACGGAGTCGGGCGACAAGGCTTTTCTTTTTTTTTTTTTATATAATGTTTTAGATAAGAAATTTTTATCTGAGTTGTCCTATTCGGAAATATTAGATAGCCAAACATCGTGCCAGTGTGCTATAACTATTTGCTAGGTAGTGTTAATGATGCCAAACGTTGATGCGAACTGGTGTTTTATTCAATTTTCTCACTGGCATTGAAGTCACAAATTTTACCTAATAGGTATAAAATAAATGGCAGCATGCTGAACATTCAACAGTAATATATATATATATATATGCATATATATTACTTGATGTAAAAACAGGAACTGACGCCGACGCCGTATATAGCCAACAACATTTCAATGGCATCGTACCTCTAGACGAGTCACACCTAAAAGTAGATATTTTTTTGCGTAAGTATCTTATTGTTATAAAATAATTTCTATGTCCCTGGATTCATACTTTAGGTTCAGATTTACTCTACCAAATATAGGATATAGACTTAGGAGTGTTCTTTATAAATTCAATGTTGTGAGGATGCTCCTAATGGGCCAAGTGTAACTAAGTACATTTCGTTGAATTTACCGCTCACTTTAGCATTTAATTTTACTACGATTTATTTGTTTATTTTCTGCTCAGTTTATTTTTTTCATATTTGAAAAGCTCGTACCATTAATGTGTCAATTAGTTTTTCAGATCAAATACGATAGAATACAACAAGGTACTGATGGAAGGATAGCTAAATCCTTCGAAATAATATAAGGAAGATTGAATCGATCTATTCATTTGTGAGATGTTTGTCTGGCATATTAGCTTCAAAACAAAGGCCTTTCTTAAAAAAAGCCCATATTATACTAAATGACCTTTAAACAATCAGATTTCGTGATACTCTTAAAAAGAGATCTATATTCGTTTTTGCCCAATCTCAGAGTGATCCTCTCATATTGAATTAGGTCCATTAAGTGCCATTTCGTTATGTCTCGCGAGCGATGCTACAGCGAGCTTAGCTAAAGAAATGCAAGATAATTGTGCACTCTATCGAGACGCGCATTTGAACGGTGAACGATGCTTAGCATACAGTTCATCCTGTCAAGCGTACAAACATCAATGCGACCCGCAATACCAGGCAGCGGGACATTTGCGAAAGCGTGGTACATTATCTGGTGCGCACGGGCAGTCTACCAGCGGCAATGAACTGTTCAGCCCAAAGCGAACTTTGTGTAGCTATTCGTAACTTGTTCGTGAGTTCCCTGACAACACTGTAAGTTAACGTAAGTCAAGATGCACGAAACTTCGTTTTCGTGCGATCCATTGTAATTTTTAGCGTTAGAGGACGAGATGATGGACACGGGTCGGCTGAAACGTCCGCTGCGCAGGCCAACCAGAATATGGAGCTCGATTGCGATGTACTTGCCAAGTCTCGACAAAACCTGAGGGGATGGAAGACATATCTGAAGCAATCCAGTGACAACGAAACCTATTTGGCTGTCAACGATATACACGGGTTTGTTAACGCTAGTGAACACAGGGCTGACTGTATTGTGGGTCTGGACTTCTCTACTTAGATCAAACCTCTATACTACCTCTAATCGCCAAACAACAGGATGGTAAGCAAGTCAATGGAAACACTGGCATATTTAACTATACGTTCGTCGTGACGTGCGGACGCGTTCATCGATGGATGGATTCTGAAAGCACTCTGCGTTCTGTTTCACCAGTCTTCCCAGAGAAACCCGTCTCTTGGGCCTCGGAAAAACTCTTTCTTAGTTGTAATAACGCTCCTCCGCAAAATCAATCGATGAATTGTTTACCGCTAATTGGGAAGTTCCTGAGCTACACGGAAAGACACGCTTGATTTTATCACTGAACAAATGCGTAATCAAAATATGGGGCGGCTGAACGGCACAGACATTAGAACGAGCCTCCGAAAAATCATAAACGATTCAGGATCTGAAGCAAAAAATATTTTCAGAAGCCAACATTTAGACGAAGTGATCGTAAGTAACATAATCGGAGCGTGATCATTTATCAAAAAAGTCAAAGAAAAACACTGCTAAGTGGCTAATATAAAAAATGAATTGAATTAACAGAAGTCGAGCTATAGATGTTTTATAACTGTATTCGTATAAAAACATATTTCTATCTATTAGAGAAGGATCGGGTAGAAAGTCATTACCGTACCCCTATCAGAACACCCCACGCAGAAGACCTGTGTGTCTATCAAAATTGAGTATATGAACTCTTATGGTTGAAAAAACGATAATGTTGACTATAATAAACGATATGGTTGAAAGACGATAGGAAAAAAATGAACCGTCCGTTTCTGATTCTAGGTGCATTTGCACAAGGGCTCAGATATGATTCGTGATGACAATGATAGATCTGTGCTAGCTATGATACGGCAAGTTTGGTAAGTGAACACACTTTCAGATCAAATAATTGGTTGTATAGTAAATTTTACCAGCAATCAAATATATATCTGAGATCCCTAGCGGTAAGTTAGGCGTTTCGTTCTAAGGCAAGGCATTTGATTTTACTGTAACTAAAAATAGCTCGATACTTCTCTGAGGAAATTTAGACATTCTCTTTTGCAACTTGGCAGCATTCAGTTACCGTTTAGGATCTACACTAACGATGTGATAACTGTTTTCAATACTACTAGGCCCTACTTCCACCCAGATTTCATAATTTTACCAAATAGTGGTAACGGTTATCGTACGTATGTAGGAGGTTTGTTTGAGCCTGGTGATAAGTAACAGCGTTGACAGGCCACTAAAATTCTATAATAATATATAGAGCTTTCCGTTTAAACTGTCACAACCAAGGAATTATTATATCCAGGCTAAAGATGTAGGATGTGCTTTATTGTGCCCAAAAAAAATTGGCACCTAGCCAAAAAATATGCAAATGCTTACACTAACAATTAGTAGTAAATAAGAACTGCTACAAAAAGAAACCACGCATCAAAGAAGAGCTTTTATACGACTATTAAGAAACTTGCCGGCAACCACTTGCGATATATAATAGGTGCAATGATAGGTGCAAAATGCAATTTTACTTTTACTTCGAAAAATATTAAAGTAATCAAATAGAGACGCTAAACATGAAAATAATATCCTTAACAAAAATGAAGGCACATAAATACTCTAGTACTAATGATACTAACCCTATAGTATCTGCTATGACTCTCGTCAACATAAGCTAATAGTGCTGGCGGTAAATTCAAATTTATTCATACAATAACGCAAATCATTGTCGTCTTCTATTGTATCAATTTTTACCCCATCCTATTCTGTTTTAGCCATAAATCTACACAGCTCCTTCTGGTTATCTCCAACGGTCTCACCCACGCCATGTTTGCCCCAACAAAGAATTCTTTTATGGCCTTTGGCTAGAGTGGTGGAATGTACATACATGTTAAGACGAAAGCTGTCCCTAGACGATCTTCCGATCGATCGTCTGTGCGCAGTTTCCTTCTGCTATCTGCTCAGTGTTGTGGGCTCTGAGACCTTTATCCAGTGGCGTATAGTTCCAACCACGAATATGGGAAGCTCGCGGCGGTTGTGTAGAACAGGCATTCCTGCATCTTAATAGCACCGCTTCAGCTGCTACAGTCGCTCCTATTTTGAGCGCGGTCTTTGTCGATTGTTTTTGTCTAGCTGGCCAGACGCATAGACATGCTACACGCCATTGAATAAAGGAACCATTCAGCACGTCATCGTCCAAGTCCTTCGCTCGAATCCAATAAATGGTAAAAAACGATGTATGGCATCAAGCCGACAAAGTAGTAACAACGTTAGCTATAGCGGTAACAACATCGAACCGACAGCTACATAAGAACAAAAATTGGTCGATCTTTTGCTATAAGTTGCGCGAGGACACAGTCAACAATTTCCCGGTACATCTCAATTCTTAGCTACATGTGCAGGTCCACTCACGTACTCTCTGTCTGCTGTTCCCATTGTACTCCCTGATATAACTACTCATAGGTACATATATATGGCTGTGTTTATGTATTATGTCACTAATACAACAAGTTAAACCGGCCTTTCGCAGATGCCGTTTACTGCCTATAAACTGCCATTTTGAGAAGAATCAAACCATAAAATAGTCGGAGCGCTACTACACACAAATTACGATTATCTTACCATGATTTTAGTAAAACTGGGTGCTTCATTATTCGGCCGAACGTTTAAAAGGCCGCTAGACCAGGCTCCCCGACATCCTCCGCAGGTCCTAATCACAACAAACATTAAATAGCTGTTGTCAGCAGGTAGACGAAAACCTGTGTCAACTGTTTAAAGATCTGAAAATGAAAGCTCAGAAAGATCGAATATTACATGGTACGAGATTTCATTGGCTTTCCCACAGTGCAGTATACTGAGACAAAGCTGACTACTACAAAATAGATTATCCGAAGGCACAGTCAGCGACTGATCAGGAGGCCGTGTTCGCATTGCTCAATTACTTTTACCCGTGTATAATTCTTGGTCTTTCTCTCTATCCACCCTCACTTGCTGTCCTCGATTCGCACGAACAGAAACCTCGCGGATTTGCTGCTTTCATTCGCACTGTACAAATAAAACCAATATATTTGTATGTTCATCTCAACCGTTTTGAAGTTGCCAATCCTTGTACGTTTCCTATTAACACCCCCGCGATTCCGTTCTCTATTACCCTATTTTTCCCTAGTCTTTAGCGAGCAGTCATCGCAAGCAAATATCACTATGAATAGACATGTAAATGTTTTGTGTTTACTCAGTAGTATTTAGCCTAGCTTTAAATTTGTCTCTCGCTCTTCTCTCCCGCTATAACAGCGTCCCTAGCATAGAGGTGTAGCAAAGTCACGTCGATGAAATCTTATGGAAATCGGCCAAGTCGAGACTAGCGGGAACGTTGACTGGAAAGCGTCTATTAAGTCTACGGCCTCGCGACTCAATTGCCGGCGGCCCATAGTGGTTCAGTAGGCTCGAAAGGATATGGCGAAACCTAGCTTTGCAATGGAACAGACAAGGAACATAGCTGGTTGCATTGCATGACGAGTGCCCTTCTCGGGCTCGGGAATCAACTTTTACAGAACAGAAGAGAGTCATGCAGGCAACATATCTGTGAAGGGTGTGACGGTAAAGGTTTGCTCCTCCTCAGGCTGGCTGTCGTTGTAATTAGCGCGTCATGCCATCGATGCCGCCAATGAAATACATTCATTCTATCATTGTCTGTGTATGAGTGATGTTTCTGACTATATGTGTGGATGCACGCACAAAGTGTTCGAGGAGGGCACGATAACAGCGCGACGAGCTGCCTTATTGCAAGCAGCCTACCGCAACGCTGCCTCAAATCAACCCATTTCATTTTGTCGCCGCTTCGTATCGTAGATGCACTGCAGCCATC